AATGTGGAATTGGCCCTGTGACCTCAGAACGGCTGCAGGCTGACTCACTGGCTGTCTGCAGGGGGTGGGAGACGCAGACAGGACCACTCATTTATTCATTTATTCATTTATTCCTCTGTCTGACCACACAGGTCAATTAAGAACTATTTGTCACAGAGGCTTCTGATGGAATTCCACTAGTTAGAAAAATAGATGAATATTCTCCTGGATCTAATGGAATTTCGCTCCGAGCGTGACATGAATCATCTGTCGATGTCCTCCTGAATGCCCTATTGGGCCAAAAAGATTTGGGAAATCGAGTAGTCCACCTCCCCCTATGCCTTTGCGTAGTCATTAGACTCTGAGTGATGACCGCACTGCAGAGTTTCAAAATCAAACAGCAAAGAAGCTTACTGTTGATGCTGTAATAACAGAATGTTAATGACAGTACTGCGGTGATTCTGATACCTTCAGTGATTTCAAAGGAATATTTCATCTGAAAAACAAAAATTGTCATATTTACTCACCCTAATTTCATTCCAAAATCATATGCTGTTTTTTTAAGATCACAAAAGCATTTTTTATTTTTTTTTGATAAATTAATTAACATTATCACATTTGACTAGAGGTGGACCAATATTAATTTTTTAATGGCCGATGCTGCTATCTTAGAGAGCAGGGTGGCTGATATCACACACTTCTTTTAAAGATAGCCTAGTTAAAAATACATGCTGAAATGAAATTTTACATGATATTTCTTAGAAATAAATAATTTTAAAATAAACCAATATAAAAAACTAAACTTGATTTTAAAAAACAAAAAAGTATACTTTAGATAAGTTCTTAAATCTGTAATCCTATCATAGTATTTTTCACAAATAAAGAACTTGTTAAAAACATGACTAAAAAGAAAGTAATTGCTGTCGAAATACAAGTACCATTTCTGACACTCATTGGCCAAACAGAAAAACTTATCAGCCAATACTGATGATTTAAAAAATGCCAATTATCAGACAATATCACATCTTGCCGATATATTGGTCGACCACTATATATGACATAGAAGTTTTGTGTTCCTAGAAAAAATGCAATAACACTGCAATAATGTCTCTCGTTAACACGAGTTAATGCATTAGCCATCATTAACTAACAATGAGCAATGTTTTCATAGCATTTATAAATCTTTGTTAATGTGAGTTAATAAAAATGCAATTGTTCGTTGTTTGTTCATGTCGGTTCACAGTGCAGTAAAGTTAACATACAACTTTTGATGTAAAAAATATTAGTAGATGTTAAAATTAATATTAGGATTGTCATGTTAATGAATGTAGTTATGTTAACAAATTAGACCTAATTGTAAAGTGTTATAGGAAAAACTAAAAGCATACGGGTTTGAAACAACTTGAGGTTGCGTAAAGAATGACACTTTTTTATTTTAGGGGGAATTATCCCTTTAACCTTGCAGATGAGGCTCTGTAAGATTAAAGGGATAAACAAAATGTGATCAAGAGCATGATATTTTGGCATCATCCTTTAAATCAGCTAAAAACCTCTAAATCTTTACACTGAAAAAGCGATTTGTATTGCTCACTACTATTAAGAAAAGTCACAAATACAATTCCAGTCACTCCAACTACAGAGAGAAAAAAAAACAGTGTGTTTATTCCAAACAAACTGGTTTGACCGAGAAAAATTATTTGAGATCAGATCTCTCCTCTAGACAGACATTAAAAGATGTTCTGATTTCTAAAGACTTCAGCATCAGAAATAATGTGTGTCTGATGAAGCTGATCATGGCAGTTAGTCACCACTGGTATGACAGTCAGGCCTGTAACCCTACAATTATTATCCTGATTATTCAGATGACTTTCAGTCACAGCTATACGTCTGGCTATAAGCGATTAGAGTAAAAATAACTCATCTGCAGCCCTCACAAGTCAGTGTTTCCAGCCAAAGGGTTTCACTGTCATGATGTGACAAGCTCCTCCTTGGCGTTGATCAACCCACCCTGTGGAGAACAGACCAACACTGGGCACAACGCTTCAAAGAGACTTAACACAGCTCCTGGGCAATGGACAACAGACAACTCTGTTCATCTAATACCATCCAAATAGTGCTTCAGATAATGTCTCGACAACTAATGTAATCCCAGCCACAGTCACAATAATCCCAACAACACCTGGGATATGAGATTTCTGAAAAGATAAATCTGCGTGACACATTATTGCCAGACAAACAGTATTACGATCAAATATGTGTTTTGTGTTACTGCCTGAAACAAATGAGTCAGTGAAATCACTCACGAGCGAAATCCGAGAAAGTGGTGGCTTCCCCAGCAGCTTTCCCACCAGCATGTGCTTCATAAGAGACAATAAATGCCAGTCCCTATCAAATAACAGCCATCAGATTGCATTTCTACAGTTAGGAGAGCATTGCGTCTGAACTTCCCCTTCTCAATTCAGTCACTGCCCTTATACAACCATAATCCTCTACATCAAATGGCAAATTTACACTGCAAAGATGGCACAGAAATGCTTCTGAAGTGGCAATTATGTGTCTTTACACATACTGTTTAATACTGCTTAACTATATACTTTTACTCTAGGGGCTAAGGTGGTCCGAGCAGGTATAATTTAGTCCCGACTTTTATGCAGCATTACATCTTTACACAGAATTTTGAGCAGACACTGAGCAGCCTTAAATCAGCTGTTTAAACATGCCTAAAATGAGAATAGCAACCGCGTTAACATGCACATTAATTTTCTGTGAAAATTAATAAGAATGTGCTCATATTCCAATTATCTAAATATTTACATAAAAATACTTTTCAGCAGGAATATCTAAATACTTTTAACCAAAACATTAATTTTAAAGAGAAGATGATGCATCACCGTTACTGACAATGTTTGCATGCACATCTCAGAAGCATTTTGGATCGTTTTAAGTGACAGCACACTAATTTGTCATTTGGACAATGCTTATATCAAGAGATTCACAATAAACTAATTTCAGTGGTACTCCACCTCGAATGGTGTTATTGATGATATTACACAGCTCGACACATACTGGGTTCGAACATACTGCAACAGCACACCGTCATACTCTTCAAAGCCAGGTCCTAATGGAAGGTGACCAGACAGTATCCAAGCCTGACCACTTACAAAACCACATTTCGGGGATTGTGTAAGAAAACATAGTACGCTGCCTACCTAGAAAGCATATTTAGGGATCAAAGAAGTGTTCGAACGCATTCGTCATGTCAAAATAACACTGGCTAGATAGGCAGCACACTAGAATTGGCAACACATCCTGGAGTACTTCCGCTGATCCTGACGGACCCTTCTAAACCGGAGAGCAGATCCACACTTCACCGACTATGATAAGCATGTGTGCAGTGACTCAAAGTAATAAACATGCAAAATGAACACCGGAATGGGCTCATACCTGAATGCAGGGTGAAAACATTAATTCCTGGATCCAGCATGATGTTCGCTGCAGCGACAGCTGCGGCAGTTCTGCCCGGTGGCGTCCCGGTTATGTTGCTGCTGCTGCCGCCGCCGTCTCGGGGTCTCCTCCCGGAGCTGCTGGCCCGGTTCGATCTGCCCTGCTGCTGTTGCCCCTGCGGTGGGGTCTGGATCCCCGCAGAAGCCCCTTCTCCCACGCGGCCTACCTGTTGTCCCATCCTGCAAGTGTTCTGGGTGGGAAAATAACACAGATCCGTGGAAAGACCCGCCGTCCGTTTGGACAGATCACATCCCCAACGAACGACCCGCGGGACGACGGCCTGTTCTACTCGGGATGATAGTCTTCCCCTTCTTGGTCACCCCTCCTCCCCCTCTTCTTCCTCCTCCTCTTCTTCCTCCTCCTCCTCCTTTACCGGACCGGACCGAGTTCCGTTAGCTTAGCTTAGCAATCTGTGTATGTGTGTGTGTGTGTGTGTGAGCGAGAGAACCCACCCACCACCTAACAGCTAACAACACACAGTCTAATCGTTAAATTCTACTAAACGCAACCGGATAAGCGGCTCTGTTAAACGGGAACGTACGATCCTCATGCCCCCAGCACTGTTTCTCTTAAAGCGGACCCGTCTGGGGTCGTTCCGTTCTGCTCCAGCCGCTGCGCGCCCCCTCCGCCGCCGCCATCTTTACCGCAGAAGCAGTGTCGTGCGCTGCACGAGCCAATGACGGAGAGCGCAGCACACCATCATCGCAGGGATGCAACATGTAGTATGAATATTAACATAAGCAAAATTAAGAGAATTGTTGATTCATAATGTGCAATGAATAACATCCTAGGAACAATAACTGAGTAATGTAAACAGTACAATAATAAAAATAAAGAGGTGTTATTAAAGAGTTATATGTTATTAAAGCAATTTAAAGCATAGAAGCCTACTTCACTTGTATATCAATATATTTAATACTACAAGCTCTGATAGCAGGGTTGTTATAGTTAACTAAAACTAAAACCATATTTAAAAAAATTAATTTTCGTTACTTGAAATGAAATAAACATGAACTGGAAAAAAAAGCATTTAATTTCAGTTAGTTAGTTGCCAAAGCAAATTTTCTTATTTTCATTTAGTTTAACATGATGTATTAAAATAACTAAAAATAAAATAAAAACTATAGACATTTTAAAAACAAAAAAATTAAAATGATAGAAAAAACAACAGCAAAATTACTAAAACTTTCAAATAAAACGGAAAATATTAAAATAAAAACGAATTTAAAATATTAATAAAATATTAAAATAACACAATCTCTGTTTTGCTCTTAATTTAATTTTTTAGCTCTACCGACAGCAATGGCAAAATATAGTAATAGTCTTGATATTACAATAATAATCTTTAATTTTTGCAACATGATTTTTATCTGTAAAGAAATAACATTGTAATTCACTTTTCACATATGATTGTATACGGTCAAGTCACATAAAACATTAGCCTGATATTAACTGATATCTCCTCAATATACAACATGGTACATAGTGCATAAAAAGCAAACCACTATAGTCAGTTAAACTGTTTAATTGTCCATTGCAAAGCATGGTGGTACAGGCTACACGCTGAACATTTCACAAGATAAATTATGATGAAAATTTGTTTAAAAATGACATTCGTTTAGATTATTTCAAAATAGTTTTCACTTTTTTTGTTATGAAAATTACAGCCATCGACTATTCTGGAAATTACAACTGAACATTTACATGGCAGGTGCCATAAAGAAATAAAATCTAAAATGCTGTGTGCAAATATACAGTAGTTCTAACATTCAACTCTCCATCACCACCTGCCGGTCGTCACAGCTATTGCAAGTATGTTTTTAAAATATTATACAGACAGTCTCATACATTTTGTGGAACTGGAGAGAGTATTCACTCAAAACTCTTTTGTGCACTGATAAATGACATTCAAAAAGGCCTAGACTTTATGATGTTTTTTTTTTTTTTTTTACAATAAATACCCTGCATACTCTGGCAGTGTACATAATTTGTAACTAATAAAGGGATTGTGCTTGAAAACCATTAGTAATGATCACATGAGTGCAGCCAGCTGCAAAACCTCAAAACTTCCAAACATTTGATACCCTATTTTGTAATAAATATGTCCTAAAGCATGGCTTTTAAATTAGTATCTAATTAGTTTAGCTCTATGGAAAGGGGAAAAAAATTAAGTACAAATTTCCAGAACTCTTTAAGTCCAGACTACAAGTCTAACTCTTCAAACAGTAACTATGGTAAATAAAACTGGCAGAATGGAGAATTTCCACCCAAATCATCTTCATTTTAATTAAAAGTCTAGGAGTAAAAGGTAAGAAGTAAAAAAAAAACTGTTTCACAGCAGTATGGCACATAATTTAAATCCATTGGGGTTTTAGAATTCTCAACCCCGCTTGTAAACATTCTATGATTTTGTGCAGTCCAGGCAAAAACTGGTTAAAATGTACCCCATATCCATGGCCTCTGCAGTACTGGAATAACACTACAATATCAAAACACAATATCTAAGGATATCTAAGAAGTGGCAGTAAACAAAACACATTTACTGTATAATCTGATCTCAAATTTAGGACATCACAGAGGCTTCTAAAAAATAGAATCTCCAGATCAGACATAACCTAATGCTAACTAGACCGTCACATAGACATTTCAAAGGAAATACCTAAATATTCAAAATGCACATTATAGACATTCTACATTCTATTACAGATGTTTTCATAAATATTAAGATCTAAACAAATCAAATATCTAAGGCCTCTTTATAAAACGGTGTCCTCATGATTATAGAGTAAGATTGTCACTTTTCATTTTGTTTGGTCAGAGTGCAATACCTACAGAATGCTAAAAAAGTTCCAGAACGAGTAGAGTATAAATCCCATTCATCTTGTGGCTGGTGTTGTGGCTTTAGTGAGCATCTACAGCAGTGTTAGTCTATGGAGAACAAGTCCAGGATCGAGGTTTTAGCAAGTCTATGAAAGAAGGCTGAGGAAACAAAAATAAACCACAAATATATGAATAAATTCACAAACTATATTCACAGATGAACCCACCAGGCATCAAAACTTTGTTTACCTCTTGAATGGGGCAGAAGCGCTGTGCGTACCACTCCTGAGAGTACAGGCAGATGAGAACCCCCTGACCCAAGAACAGCGCAGTCCACATGATCACGTTCCAGATCGGCCCTTTTCTCCGGTCATTAAGAATGAAGTTAAACACCACTAAGAGAAATATGAGAGGATAAGAGATTTTCATATTCAGGCTCTGTCATGTCAATCAGTCATATAAAACAGAGTCCTTCTAACCGAAGCTCAAACCAACTTCTAGGTGGTTATCTGGCATCCCAGCCTGCCCAAGCTCGTTAAATTGGTCTGTTTGGATGGTTTTTGGTAGACCAGCTGCTGACTAGCTACCCTGCAAACATGTCCCTGCGGGGCCTATGCTGGCTTTTTATGTAAACAGTACAATAATAAAAATAAAGAGGTGTTATTAAAGAGTTATATGTTATTAAAGCAATTTAAAGCATAGAAGCCTACTTCACTTGTATATCAATATATTTAATACTACAAGCTCTGATAGCAGGGTTGTTATAGTTAACTAAAACTAAAACCATATTTAAAAAAATTAATTTTCGTTACTTGAAATGAAATAAACATGAACTGGAAAAAAAAGCATTTAATTTCAGTTAGTTAGTTGCCAAAGCAAATTTTCTTATTTTCATTTAGTTTAACATGATGTATTAAAATAACTAAAAATAAAATAAAAACTATAGACATTTTAAAAACAAAAAAATTAAAATGATAGAAAAAACAACAGCAAAATTACTAAAACTTTCAAATAAAACGGAAAATATTAAAATAAAAACGAATTAAAAATATTAATAAAATATTAAAATAACACAATCTCTGTTTTGCTCTTAATTTAATTTTTTAGCTCTACCGACAGCAATGGCAAAATATAGTAATAGTCTTGATATTACAATAATAATCTTTAATTTTTGCAACATGATTTTTATCTGTAAAGAAATAACATTGTAATTCACTTTTCACATATGATTGTATACGGTCAAGTCACATAAAACATTAGCCTGATATTAACTGATATCTCCTCAATATACAACATGGTACATAGTGCATAAAAAGCAAACCACTATAGTCAGTTAAACTGTTTAATTGTCCATTGCAAAGCATGGTGGTACAGGCTACACGCTGAACATTTCACAAGATAAATTATGATGAAAATTTGTTTAAAAATGACATTCGTTTAGATTATTTCAAAATAGTTTTCACTTTTTTTGTTATGAAAATTACAGCCATCGACTATTCTGGAAATTACAACTGAACATTTACATGGCAGGTGCCATAAAGAAATAAAATCTAAAATGCTGTGTGCAAATATACAGTAGTTCTAACATTCAACTCTCCATCACCACCTGCCGGTCGTCACAGCTATTGCAAGTATGTTTTTAAAATATTATACAGACAGTCTCATACATTTTGTGGAACTGGAGAGAGTATTCACTCAAAACTCTTTTGTGCACTGATAAATGACATTCAAAAAGGCCTAGACTTTATGATTTTTTTTTTTTTTTTTTACAATAAATACCCTGCATACTCTGGCAGTGTACATAATTTGTAACTAATAAAGGGATTGTGCTTGAAAACCATTAGTAATGATCACATGAGTGCAGCCAGCTGCAAAACCTCAAAACTTCCAAACATTTGATACCCTATTTTGTAATAAATATGTCCTAAAGCATGGCTTTTAAATTAGTATCTAATTAGTTTAGCTCTATGGAAAGGGGAAAAAAATTAAGTACAAATTTCCAGAACTCTTTAAGTCCAGACTACAAGTCTAACTCTTCAAACAGTAACTATGGTAAATAAAACTGGCAGAATGGAGAATTTCCACCCAAATCATCTTCATTTTAATTAAAAGTCTAGGAGTAAAAGGTAAGAAGTAAAAAAAAAACTGTTTCACAGCAGTATGGCACATAATTTAAATCCATTGGGGTTTTAGAATTCTCAACCCCGCTTGTAAACATTCTATGATTTTGTGCAGTCCAGGCAAAAACTGGTTAAAATGTACCCCATATCCATGGCCTCTGCAGTACTGGAATAACACTACAATATCAAAACACAATATCTAAGGATATCTAAGAAGTGGCAGTAAACAAAACACATTTACTGTATAATCTGATCTCAAATTTAGGACATCACAGAGGCTTCTAAAAAATAGAATCTCCAGATCAGACATAACCTAATGCTAACTAGACCGTCACATAGACATTTCAAAGGAAATACCTAAATATTCAAAATGCACATTATAGACATTCTACATTCTATTACAGATGTTTTCATAAATATTAAGATCTAAACAAATCAAATATCTAAGGCCTCTTTATAAAACGGTGTCCTCATGATTATAGAGTAAGATTGTCACTTTTCATTTTGTTTGGTCAGAGTGCAATACCTACAGAATGCTAAAAAAGTTCCAGAACGAGTAGAGTATAAATCCCATTCATCTTGTGGCTGGTGTTGTGGCTTTAGTGAGCATCTACAGCAGTGTTAGTCTATGGAGAACAAGTCCAGGATCGAGGCTTTAGCAAGTCTATGAAAGAAGGCTGAGGAAACAAAAATAAACCACAAATATATGAATAAATTCACAAACTATATTCACAGATGAACCCAAAAACTTTGTTAACTTTGTTTACCTCTTGAATGGGGCAGAAGCGCTGTGCGTACCACTCCTGAGAGTACAGAACCCCCTGAACCCCCTGACCCAAGAACAGCGCAGTCCACATGATCACGTTCCAGATCGGCCCTTTTCTCCGGTCATTAAGAATGAAGTTAAACACCACTAAGAGAAATATGAGAGGATAAGAGATTTTCATATTCAGGCTCTGTCATGTCAATCAGTCATATAAAACAGAGTCCTTCTAACCGAAGCTCAAACCAACTTCTAGGTGGTTATCTGGCATCCCAGCCTGCCCAAGCTCGTTAAATTGGTCTGTTTGGATGGTTTTTGGTAGACCAGCTGCTGACTAGCTACCCTGCAAACATGTCCCTGCGGGGCCCATGCTGGCTTTTTGCGGGCACAGTGGGCTAGGGCCAGCCCACACCAAACCTAAACAGGCCCAGAGCAGGCTTGTAGGCTCTCTGTGAGCAGGCCACACTAGCGGACTGTACACATTAATCCCATGATGGCCCAGTGTGGGCCAGCCCATTCGGGCCCAGAGCAGCTTTTGTATCCTTTGGGCCCATGCAGGTTTTGTGTAGGCAGCCCTGTAATGCAACTAGGAGAATACAAACAACATTGACTGGCCATTTTTTAGCCACTCAATTGAAGTGGAATGGCTCAAACCAAAAGAGACCGTTTCATATATGCCAAGGATCCTCAAATCTGGCTCACGAGATCCACTTTCCTGCAGAGTTAGTACAGTAACATGTAGCAAATTGAGTGCAACTACACTGTAAACAATTATTTAGCAGTTTAGTTTTCAAATTATTTTTTTATGTTGACAACTTACAGTTACTGAATTTGTTCATTCAACTTAAAATTGTAAGTTTTCACTGTCTCAACTAGTTTGTAAGTTGACTGAACTAGAGTATTTGTCATCTCAACTTAAAACAATGTGTTGAATAAATTCAATACCGATGTCATGTGCTCAACATCACTTATCGCGAGAACTCGTGAAGACCGTTGCAGACAGAAGACGCTGGTCAGAACAGGAAAAGCAAAAACAAGGAATACATTGATAAATAAACCATGACTGCATAACAGCAAAAGTAGGTGGCGATATGCACACAGGATGTAACGCCAAAAAACGGAAGAAGAAGAAGAAGAAAGAAGAAGGGAGTTAGCAATAACAAGCAGCAGTAGCCAGCATGGTTCACCTGCTGAACACATTGTGCTGTGTCCTGGTTGGGAAATGTGTCATTTCAAGCCCAGTCTAAAGTAAGGAGTTGTTGTTGTTTTTATTAAAGTGTACATTGCTGATGTTTTTTTGCAGAGATGTTACATGTAAGTATGTCCTATGTTTGGATGGATGCTAAGAGTTTAAGATAGTGTATTTGTATGCATTTTAGAAGGACTCTTTATTGGTGAGGTTCCACATCATGGTCCAGTATGAATATGGATTTAAAGTTATTTTCGCCGTGGGACCATAGTCTGGACTTTTTTTTTGACTGTTCCTGGTTAGGAAGAGTCTGGTGTTTGAGAGCTGTGGCGTGTTTTCATTACGAGAGGTTGGATTATTCATTTGCTATCAGTAAACTTCAGCTATGGACAGTGTTTGGACATTGATGAAATACAGATAAGACTTTCGCACACATCAACTTTCATATGACGAATCCTAGTCTTACATTGCTTTGTTTGCCTTACTTTTTTTTCAGCAGCAAAGTTCCTTGATTATTACGCCGGAATGAGAGCATAGTTCCTAGCCATATCGGCCTAGAAAATCGCAACTTTTCAATTTCCGTCGGTCTTACTACATGATGTAACTACAGAAGAGTCAAGTTTTAAATAGGAAAAATAGACAAACTCTTTGGTCATTTTTGAGCAAGATGCTAACGGTCTAAGAGATCGGCTGAATGGATTCGAAAACGGTAAAACTCAACTGTTTAACTCTAGGGGAGTTGGAAAATTAGCTTATTTTCAAAAATAGTGGAGTGTTCCTTTAAGTTATAGTAGCTGGAAAGTATTTAAAGTGAAACAGATGTATTGTTGTAGATTAATAGTGCGGGCCCTGTGTGGGCATAGTGAGGGCTTCCTGGGGGCTAAGTGAGGGCTGCCCGTGCAGGACCAGCGCTAAGGGGCCAACGTTTTGCCAATGAGCAAATTCTCAGGGGCCCTAAGGCTAGCCCTAAGTGGGCCCCGTAAAGGGCCAGTGCAGGCTTGTTTGCTGGGTAAACACCAGCTTGGTCAGCTGTAAAACCAGCTAAGACTATCTGTTTTTTCAGCAGGGATATTTGACATGCTCTTGTAGTATATGAGGTTCTTACTTCCAAAGCACATGAAGATGCAGAACAAGACAGGGTAGAAGAAGCCAAAGCAGATGGCCAGAACATACTCGTGCACCACAGCAGACACCGTAAAAACAACCAACATGGCCGCTGCACGGAATCGCTTCTGTGTCATCTGTAGACATGGATGATCACACATGGTTTAGCTTGAGTCCATTCAAATAAACCAAAAACAGATTGTTTAATAAAATACAGTACAATCGTCAAGGTCCAATCTGAAACACTGTTTACACCAATGAATTTCCATGTATTTTTCAGTAAATGGATGATTTCTTTAAAGAGTGCACTCAAAGTGCAGATTCTATATATAGCTGATTAAATAGAAATAAAAATAAAAAATATACAAAAATAAATTGAAACAACTTATAATGTATAAAAATTATAATAAAAATAAATTATAATAATTATATAAAAAACGAATTATAATCAGTCAATAAAGAGTAATGTATTTTAGAATAACTAAAGTCTTATAAAGAATAACTAGAATCTTTTATATTGTATTCTGTAACATTTTCAACTTATGACTTACCCACAGGAAGTCCCTGTAGACATAGTAATAAAGCCAGTCATGTACTACAACATTCCATGTGCGGTAATAGTTAGCAAATGAAGTGGAGTTCCACCAGTCCTAGAGAAAAAGCATTTTTCAATGAATAATCATATAATGGCAACATCTGCTTTTAAACAAAGCATATCTGATCATGTGGAACATATAACCCTTATAAAACCTTACCTTATAAAACATTCTGTCTCCAAATCGTAGCATTTCAGCAAATGCATTAAGCCAGCAATGCAAAAAGGCAAAGAATGCCAAGAATAGCACCAACACTCCTACAGATATAGAACACCACATTACACAAATTGCATTCATTTTTATACTTTTTTTTACTACATCTGTGACCATTCTCAGTGTGTACTCTTCTTATTTAGACATCTTATCAGTATAAAGGAATCTAAAGATGTGCAACATTTAAATATGACATTCTACCTGGCAGTATAGAGTTGAAGACACACAACACCATGGCCCTCAGATCAAAGAGCTGCATACTGATACTGCGGAACTGAGGGATACACAGCCGCACAAATATGTAATACGCATAAAACAAACACCCAAGCACCTGGAACGACACAGAAAAAAACACTTACTCAAGATTTCAACATCACATTTACCAAGCCTTCAAATATATATATATATTTTTTTTTTGTTTTAAATCACAACTTAAACATGTACTCTTTGAAAGAGCCCACCTGTGAAAATTGTGTAGCCACATAACCCCATCGAATACATGGATTTCTACAAGGACAAAGTAACATAAGTGGAATCCAAACTGAATTTAAAAAAGTAATATATAAATGTTATTTTTATTTATTACTTTTATCTACACACACACACACACACACACATATACATACATACATATATATATATATATATATAAAATTTAAAACCAATATTAGTGAGTCTTACCGTGGATAATTGTCTCTGTATATTAGGGTAGGTGCAAAGAGAAAGTAAATGTACTGGGTGAACCGAGGTACAGCTAATGAATCTGAAAAAAAAATATGAAGTTTTTATCGGTTTATTTTTGTGAATTTACTAACATCTAAGTAAAGATCTTACTTGTTTTGCTCCGTTCTAAGGATTGCACTCTTGGCACATTTTCCCTGATGAAAGAGTGAGCCTTCATTATCAGTCGCACCTGTTTAAAACAGAACCAATAGCAACAACTAGATTCAGCAGTGAAACTAAAATAAACATCTTCAATATTATTAGATTTCTAACAAGTAACAAATTCAAATAAACACATGAAAGCAGAAAATGGAGCAAGCAATAATCAACAGAGTGATATAAAAAAATCCTGTTGCTATGATTACTGAATACCTGTTCCAGAATAAGTATGAAGCATGAAGCAGGGGGAAGGCCGTTTTTCAGCACCACATATGTGGGTAGGAAACCCAAACACAGCCCCTGGTACAGAAGCAAGAGAGAACCAGCCAGCACTGTCCATAAGGCCCGATGGCTTGACGTGGGGTAAACACTGGCCCAGACACTGAGCAGTATATATGGAACCACAAGGGTGGACAGGAACATACACATCCATGTAACAACCACTAGGGGGAACTGGCCAAACGCGTACACCAACAGATCAAACTCAAGCACCAGTCTAGAGAGAGCAAGAAAGAAAGATTTTTGCGGTTTACACAATTTAGTAATCTTACTTGGAGTAAAAGGTTATTGTCTCACTTTACTCCGAGACAGACTGAAGGTACATGATAAACTAGAGAGAAAACACTTTTGAATCTTTTTGCATGTATCAATCAGAAGAAGTCTGATACAGTAATATTAATTAGCTTGTGCTGACATTGCTAAATAATTTTCCTAGACTGTCGTCACATTACATAAAAACTAAAATGTTCAACAAATTATTATTAACATGTATAAAATTATTTTAGTTAGGGAATTAATTCAATTAAAATAGTTACAGTAATAGCACATTACTTCAATACATTTTACATTTACATTTAGTCATTTAGCAGACGCTTTTATCCAAAGCGACTTACAAATGAGGACAATAGAAGCCATCAAAATCAACAAGAGAGCAATGATATGCAAGTGCTATAACAAGTATCAGTTACTGTAGCTTAACGCAGTACACGTAGCAAGGTTTTTATTTTATTTTTATTATATAATAAATAAAAAGAAAACAGATAGAAAAAGAATAGAGCAAGCTAGTGTTAGAGGCCTTTTTTTTGCTTTTGTTAATTGTATAATAAATAAAAAGAAAAATAGATAGAATACAAAAAGATTAGAAAAGCTAGTGTTTTTTTAAAGAAAACAAGCAGTTAGTAAATGAATAGAGTGCAAGTCTAAAAGGGGCTAGTTTTTTTATTTTTTTAAAGAATAGAATTAGAATAGAGAGTGCTAGAGTTAGATGGTCAAATATTTTCTCAATACATTATATTTCAGTATCTTAGTCACTGGTTTGTTCGATTCATTCTTTTTGTTCACACAAGCACAGATAAACATGTCGTTTTATTTCATAACTTTATCCTTACAGTAGCTAGAATACACTAAACTGTAACAGGGTTTCTGCAGACTTGAACAAGTTAAATTTAAGACTTTTTAAGACCTTTTTAATACCACCTTATATGAAATTTAAGACCTAAACCTGTAATGGAAATACACATTTTATTACATACA